CTCTGTGTCATTTTTTTTTAGAATCAAGTGGATATAACGTTTCCTAGACCCAACTGTCATCCATCCTTGGAAAAAAATCTCTCTTTTTATCTTAGACCCATCGGAAGTAGCATTATCTTCAGAAGTAACTATCAAACCTCTCTTCTTTCTACCTCACTACCTTTTTTTATAAGAGTCTTCTGTACATTTGGTAAAGGTTGAACATCTACCAACAGCAAACTCAGTCAGTGTTAAATATTGTAGTTTGGAACATCTCTAAAATACCCATAAATGACAGGAGTGTATGTTACCTGGAATTTGTTTATAAAGCTATTATTTATATTGCTGACTTGTATGATGCTGGTGGGTATCCACAAACACTTTTCAACGCACGGGGCTAACAAAAACACATTTATTTTCTATTATCAAGAATTACTTTCATCTCTGCCCTCTAAATCATATTGTGTTAGACCAGAACTTTTAATTGGTTTGTATATTGAAAGTGAGTTTGCTCCTTTGGACGGCATTAATTGTAGGCAATTACGCAGATTACTGTCTGCGTCCTATTTTGTATCTCTCATAGGCGAAACGTATTGACAATCTTTATTTGATGTTCTAGGCAAAGAAAGGAAAGAAATTTATTTACTCCCATTCACAGTTACAATAGAATCCAAGCTTCAGGAATTCCAATGGAAACTAAATCATAATATTTTGTATACTAATTTTATGCTTTTCCATATGAGACCTCATTCAGTAACCTTAAGTCCATGTACGTTTTGTAACAACGCAATGAAACAGTTTTACATATTTTTGTGCAAAGTGATTATATAAAGTCACTATGAAATGTTATATTTAAAAAATAAGGAATTCCCTATATATATTTCAGCAAAACGGGTAATTCTAGGTTACAATACCTTTTCTAAATTGCTGAACCATATCATACTAATTATTAAACGATATATGAGAGCAAGTTAAAGGGTAATCTAGCTACATTTAATATGGAGAAGACAAATGTTTTGGTTACAAAAACATTAAGAATCCCGGGTATGCATCCTATACAAAAAAGTGGCAGACTTTTCATTGTTAATATTGTACCTGTATTTTTATTTGGATACATATTATGCAATGTAATCACGTCTTTGAATAAATAATAAAAAATATTCATTAGCATTGGAAATTAATTATAATCGTTGTGCATTTATTTAATGTCTGTTAATTACATCTATTCTAACATCTTTGTTAACCGAGTGTTTATGTATTTTTTTTGCTTTGCGGTTTTCTATCAGAAATCCGAATAGAATGGCCACCGAGATCACGTTGGCGGTGAAATTGTTTTTAAATACCACAGTGACATAAAGCCAGTGAAACATTGAACTCGATGATAGAGGGGAATGAAACACTATCTGAGGGGCGAAATAAGTTCTACGTCTTTCTTGCTTTCAGGAAAATTTAATTAATCACATGACGTAATGTTGAGTGACGTCACTTGAAATACACGCTATAGACAATCTGATTTGTAGGTTAGACAATTGAAACCTTTAGTTCAAATGCAGATTAATTTAGTCATATGTGACGCAATAGGAGTCAACAAGTGTCATCACATCATCTCGGGTCCAGAGTTGACAGTGGCGGATCCAGAGAGGGGGCCAGGGGGGCCATGCCCCCCCCCAAACGCATGACGATTCATATCATCTGGATTACGCATAGTTTCTTTCCCATTTTCGCTCCGTATATCTTAAGCGAAGCTTCCCCCCCCCCCCGTACATTTTGCTGGATCCGTCACTGAGAGTTGATACATTTGATACTTAAAGTGTGGCA